ATTGTTGGTGAAGTTCTTGGCAATATGAAGAGTTCACGTTATAGCTTTCTGGTAAAAAGACTGAATTACTGTATTAAAGGAAAAAGACAATAGAAATTCCCAATATGTTTAGTAGCAGACAACTGCCTTTTTTAATCATATCTAGTGCCAGATGTCTCAGATCTAAACAAATACAGACATACCTATGAACATAAAGGTATATTGATACATATATATATATATATATATATATATTCAATTCTTCAATTGGCAGTAAGTTCATTTCTTAGAAAATCTTTGGTTAAAAAAATAAATTTAAATACTAAATATGTGTGTACATATTAGTTTTAATCCCCCAGTATGAAGTTACAATTAAAGTATTAAGCAGAAAAAAAAAAACAAGTATGAAGTGATCCTGTAAAAACAACTTTATATTCTCATTATTTATTCCTTGTGTATAATTTGGTTTCTGCAGCTAATCAGACAAAATAAAAGTTAAAAGTAAGCTTTTCCCCCCATCAAGTGTGAAGTTCACCTGTGGAAAGGCACGGAATTAACTTGGAAAGAGCTTTCATTTGATGGCTTAATATGCAGCCAATTTTTAATATTTGCAAGGATTTATATGCCAAACAGCTCCTAACTTGTTCCTCTATGGAATATATGTGCTTTCATTCCTTACTTGGAATATTTATAAACACAATAAAGTGATTGAGTTTTCCCAATATGTAAAATAAAACAAAACAATGAAAATATATTTGCATGCTTTTCTTAAATCATTTTAGCGTGATTTATCAAAAAAACTATATGCAAGTACCAAATATAGCATAGAAAATTATACTTCTAAATAGCCAGTTCTGTATACAATATTTCACTAACATATTCACAGCCTAATTATTTAGTTTTGTTGTGATGCATGCTCTATACCATACTCATTTATTTGAATTCTTTTATATACTTTAAAATTAGCATTTGTATATTTTACAAAATTATGACTATTAATAGATTTAGTATATCAATATTATGTTGCTCTTAAAATAAACTGCTTTTCTGTCTAAAACCTTATCAAATTTTTGAAGTCTTCTAAATGTTGCTGAAGGCATGATGAGTATTAAAAGGTTGTTCAATGGTTCTAAAAATTTATGTTGCTCAGTCAAGTAACAAAAAGGTGAAATATGTATTCATTATTTAAATTAATGACTTAATTTTCATGACTGGTAATAACTGCTCAGTTTTTAATATGCAAGAATTATAGGCATTCAAATCATTTGTGTTCATGCCTGCAATTATTTTTTTACATGTTTACTACAAGCATGGAACTAAGCTGATATCAAAATATGTGTGACACTCTATTTCCAAGTCCACCAGAGACTAACAGAAAACTAGATTTGTACAAGAGATGCCACAGATAGAAGCAAAAAAAACCTTGATAGAGTGATGTTCAAAGTTCTCTGGGACCATAACCAAGATAATTTTGTTTTCTATACAGATATCAAGTGAAGCTAAAGAGTAGCTGTGACATTTTGGGTTTTGTGAATGACTTGTACTGATGTTAATGCATTTTATAACTTTTTTCTTAAGTAATGTTAAAATTTTGTAAAGATTTACGTGCAAATGAATGATAGATTTGTGTGTTAGAATGATAACTTGTAATAGTGTGAGGGGATTAAAATGATGAGGACCGGAAGCAATAACTTCATTAAAGGCGAATTTTCCATGGGTTGGGCCAGCACTGTCTCTACATCCTCAGCAATAAAGAGTGGGAGGGAATAAAGTAGTAAAGATATCTGAGAGCTTTTTAGGGAGAAAGATAGGTTTGTTGAATCATTTGATATGGAGGAGGGTAAAATTGTTAAGATGTTAAACAACTGGGATGAGAGGAGGTCACCAATGTTATAGGAAGCAGACTCAAACAGAGAGTGAGAGATAATGAGTTCAGTTAAAAATATGTTCCATCATTGGTTGGGAGCAGACCATGGGAGGTGTAGCCTCGACAAAATTGAACAGATGCATTTCAGAGAGCAGCAGCTCTTCACCATTCATGCTCCTCATTCTAGGAGCTATCCAGAGGACATTCCTGGCAGCCACATGTCCCTCTACTTGCACACACTTATCTGCTTCCAGGGTGTCCAACTTTTAGAAATGGCTATAGGCCTTGTCAGCGCAGCAAGAGCACTTTTCCGACATCGGTGTACCTCAGAGATTAGTTTGGCATTCAACTTGGAAACTGGCAAACTGATTCCACGGGGACTTGTGGGGGATGGTGCAGAGGGGAGCATTAGCCATATCAGTGACCACAATCCTGTCAAAGGATGCATTAAAAGGTCTTCCACCATGGGAACTATGGCAAGCTTATGCCTTGGGAACTTGTCTTGACTTCTCATTGTACTTCTGAAGATGTACGCAAGCTCTGTCTATCATTCGGTGATCCACATGTGAGTACACTGCATGACCTGAGCTCCACCTGTTTCAGTAGGGCTCTCCCTTTTCCAAGAAATTTTTAAAAAATGGCCTTGCATATTACACTCAGGAACAGTTACAACAACCAAGAATTATTTTGGTAATCTGTGTCCAGTCCATCATGAGCCTACTAGGAATTTAGGTAGGCATATGAACTAGACAAAACATTGACCTGAAAATAAAACAAAAAAAGAAAAAGAAAAAAGCATTATTCTGTATATATGTGCATGTAAGCGAATAGCACTGAGAAGTATTTTGTATCAAGAGAATGACCAGCAGTATCAGAGAAATATCCACCAAATCTGAATCACTAGGGTTAGTGCTTCAGAATGAGTATTTTAGAAAACCTCCAAAAAGAAAAAGGAAACCTCCCCAGGTAGTAACGATGCACACAATCAGTTATGACAAGCTGGTGTTCAATGAAAACAGATGGAAGTCCATAACACCATCATTTAAAGTCAACTAAGTGGATGGTAACAAAGCAAACTGAGGAAGAATTCTCAGAGGCAGATAAACAACTAGGATTAAGAAGAGATGGAAATGTTTCAGACATGAAAAAACAGTTCCAGTTTCAAATGAGGAATAATCAAATGTCAGCTAAGGAAAAAACAAAACAAACAAACAAAATGACTGAAGGTACTTACTGGAATTTAACACAGCCGAGGTAAGTGATTCTTTTGCCAAAATAATTTCAGAAAACAGCCAGGGATCAAAGCTCGTCTGCAGTTAAGCAACAAGGAAATTTTTATTATTAAAGATTTCATATTGGGCTATATCTGCACAACAGCACAGATTTTAACTGATACAAAATTACTAAAGCCCTATGTTTCTCAATTAGGAAGGACAATCTTCAGAGTATTACACAACTATATGGTTTCCAAATTTTCACTGGCCTTTTACACAATTTGTATGGAAGTATGAGTAACAGAAGTTTCCTCACTGTATGCAAAATTTTTATTTTAACAGCCCCTCATTTTTCAGCACTCATTTTCCTCTTCAAATTTAAAAGCAAAATGGTTTTGGGGGTGAGACATTTCAACTCTGCGTTTGAATTGTTCTTTGCTCCTCACGTCTTTCTACAATTTCAGTGCGGAGAGACAGTGAAAGTAGGAATGCTGCCTCATAAGAAGTCCCAAACTCACCCTGGCCCAGAGCCACTTGATATTTTACTTAGTTTAGGCTTTCCTCATTTGGTCATTTCAACAACTGATAAATATTGGCCTCATATGATGATCCTCTCTTCAGATCGCCCAACTCATCAGTATTCGGAGAGCCCTAAAGATAAGGTAAAGTTATCTCTACTAGTAACAACAGACTGGGCAACTTTACCACTTGCGGTCGTGCAACAGTAGTACTTCTTAGCAGCTTCTCTACTCTCCGTAACAGAAAGCAGATCTGAAATATACCTTCTTTGCTTCCTACAGGCATGGCTCATAGGCTCTGCCAACCCAGGTCAAACATCGAGGCAATTGAGTATTCTTGTCCAGGATGATTTGTATAGTACAGCCATGATAGAAATGCGTCTCAAATAAGGTATTTAAAGGAAAATAGAAAAGAAAAAAAAAAGATACCCCCGAGGGCAGTTGTATGCTCAATGATATTACACAACTATCTCTCTTGAGGTGGGGGTGGAGAGGGGCAGGGAGGGAGACTTATGGGTTTATCAGTTTCAGTGAAGGCTAATTTCAAACTGTCACTTGATATTTTTAGAGGCAGAGATGGAAAGAGACATGAGTTTCACACCATAACATAGTCACTTCACTATAAAGATATAACCAATATGGGAAGCATGCCAGAGTCCCCGGATAATCAAGGCTAGAGTGTGTAGGCTTTGGTGATAGTATACCGAATGTCCAAGACTACTCTGGCCCTAGGCTAAGATACCATAAGCAGCTGCAAGGCCACAACAATCTCACAGTGTGCTGGGCCCTTCTATAACCCAAATGATTGTCACTGTTGGCAACCAGCCTTCTTTGTCTCTGGAGTGATATACAAGTTACTGACCAGCTAGTTGGCCAGAGAGCAGCTAGGAAGGGAAAAGGATAGAGAGCTCAGATGGAGCTGAGAGCTCGTAATGCCAAGATGTAAAGCTAAGAGCTCCCAGAGAGCTTAGATATAGCTACCATGTTAACCAGCTAGAGTGTGCTGGGCAGGAGAGACAGAAGCTGCTAAGCCAGCGAGTTCAGATACCGCTCCGATGTAAGGTGGTGAGTTTAGAGGCAGATAACAGTGGGTACAGCGACTGCTACTACTTTGTGAGAAAGATATGTTTTTGACAGATGGTGCTCGGCTGCCTGATTGGGACACTGTTGTGAAGGACTATTTTGTCTGATGGAAAACAGAAAAGTAGGCCCTCTTGGCTCCATGGGACAAGGATCCTAGGTTGCTTTCCCCTGATTCAGAGCCTCTTCAGGACTCAGGTTGGAGTAGATAGGGTGAAAATTGATGCTGTAAATACATAAACACCAGACATAATTCAGGTGACTCAGATGCAGATTATTTATTATTTCATAATTTAAACCTTCAGTAGTGACAACAGAGGTGAGGAATAAATTATGTTTTTTTCTCTTCTTGGTTTAGGCCAGTTTCTGATGATTTATTTGGATTTATCCTCTCTTCAGGCCAAAGTTGTTAGAGACTGTTGCTGTAAGAGAAAACAAAACAAAATACCGGAGTTGCTTCTTTTTTTTCTGAGCTAACATATTTCTAACACAAGTAATTTAAAAGATGTGGGTAATTGTAAGGATCAAGGAAATGAAAACTAAATCTAGAAGAAAAACAAAACAAGGATCTGTTGTCTTAACTGCAAATACTCTGAATTTTATAACAGAAGTGGTTTTATAAATACTCTATTTATCCATGTTCAGTAGAATGATTCACACACTTTGATACACATACAATTTACTGAATGAATTAGGAGAGGAAAGCCAAGGCAATATTTGGCATTCCAAGGACTCTGAATGATGAGGATCTATTGTCATTAAAATCTAAAATCACTCTGTAGAATTATGAAAAATGAAACCAATTAAGTATGAAATAAAGTCAAAATGTTTATTGTAAATTTAAGTACAAAAGCAAAAATGACAAAATATTTTTAGAACCAAGATAAATAATGTTTAAAAAATGTTATTTATTAATAGTATGCTAGATCTAAAACCCTAACTTACATAACAGAAAAATCAGCCAAAAGGCAGAAGGTAAAAATATAATTGCCTCTAATTCCATATGGTAATATTTTGTATTTTTATTTCTATGTCATACTCTTTATAGACATAGTTCATTACTAAATGACATAGTGAAAAAAAATAACAAAAAAGCCAATAAGACAGTAAAAAATAGTAAAATTTTAAGATATGCTACCTCTCAGAAAATATACCACTTACATGTCCAACTGACTAAAAGTAAATAATTTATGAAGTTACAACTGGACACATACAGATTGGTGGTGATCATTACAATTAGGTAATTTGGCAATAGATATCAAAAAGCAGCCCGGTCTGTGCCCTCTCACAGTCTGGGACCTCTCGGGAGATAACGACCTCCTGGCTTGGCCTGCTCCCGGGTGGCAGAGGGCAGGCCTAATCCCTAGGTGCAGCCCCTGGTCGGGCTCAGAGCAGGGCCGATTGGGGAGTTGGGGTGCCTCCCCGTCATGCACAGAGAAGGGCCAATCAGGGGGTTGGGGCACTGCCCCCTGTCACGCACAGAGCAGGGCCCATCAGGGGGTTGGGGAGCTCCCCCCTGTCACTCACAGAGTAGGGCCAATAGGGGAGTTGGGGCACTGCAACCTGTCACGCACAGAGCAGGACTGATCAGGGGGTGGGGCGCTGCCCTCGATCACCCACAGAGCAGGGCTGATCAGGGGGCTGGGACGCCACCACTCTTACACTTAGGGCAGGGCCGATGGGGAGGTTATGGCTCTACCCCGTCACACACAGAGCAGGGCCCGTGGGGTGGGGGGATTGGGGCGCCACACCCTGTCACACACAGAGCCGCAGGGCAATCAGGGGGTTGGGGAGATCCCCCCTTTCAGGCACAGAGCAGGGCTGATCATGGGGTTGGGGCACCTTCCCCTGTCAGGAACAGAGCAGGGCTGATAGGGAGGTTGTGGCCCCGCCCCCTGTCACACACAGAGCCACAGGGCGATCAGGGGGTTTGGGCGCTGCCCCCTGTCACGCTGATCCCAGTGCCGGGAGGCCTCTCAGCTCCACTGATCCCGGTGCTGGGAAGCATATTACTCTTTTACTATATAGAATAGAGGACTGGTGCATGGGTGGGGGCTGGCTGGTTTGCCCTGAAGGGTGTCCTGGATCAGGGTGGGGGTCCCCACTGGGGTGCCTGGCCAGTCTGAGTGAGGGGCTGAGGGCTGTTTTCAGGCTGTGACTGAAGCTCCCAACCGCTCCTTTTTTTCTTTTTTCTTTTTTTATCCTGGGCCAGCTTTAGCCTAGCACCAGCTCTGAGGCTTCTGCTTCTGAAAGCAGGTATCTGGTTTGTTTCAGTTCTACAATCGAAACTCTGTATCAACTCCAGCTCTGAGATCCCAGCTCCCTGAAAGCTGGTGTCTGGGGTTTTTTTTAGCTTCTATTTGTTACTATGTTTCTTAAACTGCAGGCTGAGAGGCCGGCAAGGCAGTAGGGGGAGGGTGCAGTCCTCTGTCACTGATGCAAGCA